GGGTTGAAAGGTCACATGAAGGAAGTATGTCAAAGTTTTATAGTGGAGACATTCAGCCAGACTGCAAGGACCAACAAGACTTGTAACCAACCCACCTTTTCTAGGGTAATACTCCCCTAAGACCTTTACTCTGGCAGTAAAATCTTCCCCTACTGTAGAGAGTTAGCTGAGCTTGTGTTGTACTGAACGCACTACAGAAAAAGGCCCCTGATAGCAGTAAAGGTCAAGAGAGGTTGCAGGGTAGGTCTTTGAAGAAGAAACTCTCAGGACGCTGGGGGCAAAGTTAATCAAGAAAATAACCCCAGCGTGCCTTTAGTCAGGTGTGTCAATTATACCACATTTTCATTCATGGCTGATTTCAAAACATTGAATAATGACTTTTTATTTGTACTAGTAAATATTTCAAAAAGGTCAGCTTTATTATCTTCCACTTTTATTATCTTCCATAAGAGAGAAACTGTGTTAAGGGCAAAGTGAGTTGTCTTATGAAATGATTCACTGTGTGTGTGTGTGTGTGTGTGTGTGTGTGTGTGTGTGTGTGTGTTTAGCTTCTCTCTTTTACTTTTAAAAAGTCATTTCCTCAGAGGCAGAAATAATAGCTTACATATATATTTTTTCTTTCATTTAGAGCCTAGCCTATGGTGGATTCTTGATAAATATTGTATATACAGATGATATTATACAACAAATATGTAATCTTGAGCCTAAGATTAACTCCCACTCAGGACCAAGAAAGTGAAAGCTTTGCTTCCACACACCCTCTGATGGTTTGGGTCAAGAGAGATGCATTGAATTGGCCCTCCTCAATGCCCTGGCTATGTCTACTGGCAGTGTTCTTTGGCTGAAAGGCTGCCATTTGTCTCAACAAGTCCATCACCTTCGTGGGAATTCTTTGTTTTGTTTTTAATTAAAATTTATTGGGGTGACACTGGTTATTAAAGTTACATAGATTTCAAGTGTACAATTCTGTAATACATCATCTATATATCACATTGTGTGTTCACCACCCAGAGTCAGTTGTCCTTCCATCACCATATATTTGATCCCCCATTTACCCTCATCTACCACCCCCTCCCCACTTAACCCTCATGGGAATTCTTTGCAGTAGACCCATGTTATGGAGTTCTGCAAGCATCTAAGAGGGCAGAAGTCAACAAGTTAGCCAGAAGATTCCAAGCTGTAGCTCACACGTTCAGACTTACTCCCATAGAAGATCTCTCCAGTCTGAAGTCAGAAACAAACAGTTATCCAAGTAGTTGATGGTCCAGCCAGTCATGCAAACCCACAGTCAGTCCTAAATGTTTTACTTAAGGATTTACATTCAACTCTGGATCTGAAGTAGTGAGATAACAATGTTTACAAATGACAGGAATTCTGTAGAAAACAGGCAGCATTTGTTTACAGACGAGATGCTGCCTGCCTGCATCCCTGACTTAAGTGTATTGTTATTATTTGTGTGGTCCTATGGACAGGCCACGAACTGAGACCTTGGCTGAGGGGCAAGTTTTTCTCTACTAGGTGTTCTTTTCTAGGAGGACACTGGAGACATTCTAAATGTGATTATGTCTTCAAGAGCTTTGTATTCAAGGAGTCAATTGAAATAAATTCCCATTTTAAAGGTGGAGAAACCTAAATATGGAGCTCCCCAGGAAGTTCCAGACTGTGAGCTCTCCTGGACCCACTAGAAGGGAATGTGTCATATCAGTCACACAGTGGTTTTCAACCAGAATTACAGCTAAGTTCTCCATATCAGGGAGACTCTCAGCTTGACTTGTGTGTATTCATTACAGAGCCACAAGCCAAAGAATGTTTTTTTTTACCTCATTACATTTTCAGTACTGAAACCAAGATGCAAACTTTATAAACAAAGCTATCTTCTAGCACAAACATATGACAACACTCCCTGTCAAGCAGCCACCAACTTGGAGGCCTCATATAGAAATGTAAGGAAAACACTTGCCACCTGGTAACCTCTTCGTTTTCCTAGTTCGAGGGAGTCCAGAGGTAGTAACTACTTAATCTTAATATCCCTTCTGAGGGCAGGCAGAGGTGGTCTACTGGCCCAGCCACAGGCCCAAGGCCTAAGAGGGCCCTGGAGTCAGGTTCTGGATTAGCTCCAAATTCTTAATCCTTGCCAATAATGTGCCCAGGGGAAGGGGCAGGAGGAAAGGAAGTGTATATTAAGCATTTGATGACTAACATATACAACGTATTTTTGGAAATGTTAGTTTCAACCTACTTAGGAAGCTGAAGTGTGGAGAGAATCAAGAGTGAGTGTTGAGGCCCCACACCTCCTTTATGTGGGAGTTTTCCCCTTTACAGAGAGCTGCTGATGGGCGCCTGTGAAGGACCCTGAGGTCACTGCTAACAGAGGTGATTTCAATTAGTTTTGGATTCTTTCCTCACAGTTGTTTTTCAAATGTGCATGTCATTGTCAGCTGAGTGCTCATCAAGCCTTTATCCCAGGCTTCTTTGAGGTGTGAGGGTCACACAGCCTGCGTGGGCGGGTGAATGAAATTCCCACTCTGGGCAGTTGAGGTGCTCATGTCATCTCTCTCTTAGAGATCACACAGGTCCCCAACAGCCTTTTCCCAGCCCTCCCCTTGCCCCACTCAGATCGATGTGCCATTTTACCACTGTCTTTAGGGATATTCTTGGGCCAAAATCAGTGCTAAAGGGAGTTGAAGAGGAACTGCTGGATTTTCACTTTCTCTCCAGAGAGCACCTCCATTTCTTCCTTTCTCTCTCTTTCCTCTCTTACCCTTCCTCTGCAAAACTCCTGTGGTGGATAGAATACCCACCCACCCCCTTCCCAAGATGTCTACCTCATAATCCCCAGAAGCTGTGAATATGTTCCCTTACATGGCAAAAGGACTTTGCAGATATGACTAAGTTAAGCATCTTGAGATGAAGAAATGATCTTGGATGGTCCAGGTGGATCCGTTGAGTGGATTCCAATGTAAGCACAAGTGTACTTATAAAATGGAAACAGGAGGGTCAGAGCCACAGAAGGTGGTGTAATGATGGAAGCAGAGGTCAGAGAGAGAGAGGAAGATTCTATGCCACTGGCTTTGAAGATAGAGAAAGGGGCCACAAGCCAAGAAAAGCAGGTGGCCTCCAGAAGCTGGGAAAGGCAAGGAAACAGATTCTCCCCTAGAGCCAAAATGAACCAGCCATCCCAACACCTTGATGTTAGTACCTTGAGACCCATTTGGACTTCTAACCCTCAGAACTATAAGATAACACATTTATGTGGTTTTAAACCTTTAAGTTTGTGATCGCTTGTTACAACAAGTAGAAACTAATGGAGCTCCCAGACACAAATGTATAGATTGCAACACCCCAGGAACACAGGAATGCGATGTGTGGAGGGAGCTTTTCTCCTCCTTGTGTTCCTCACCTCCCCTACCCACTGTGGCCCCAGTCAGAGCCCGGGGTCTGCACCAGCACCTGCAGCACTTGCCTCACCTCTGACCCAGACCTGTTTTCTCCAGACAATGCCTCCCCTGGCTGGGTAAAACTTCCAGCAAAGGTCACAAGTAGATTCCCTTACCCACCTCTCCTCTGGCCAACCCTCCCACCAGGCAATCTGAGAAGAGGGGCAGCCTAGTTTAAATACCAACAATAATAAAGGGTCAGAAGCAATCCATACACCTGAATTAGATGCATTTGGCTCAACAACTTGAGGAAAAAAATGACTTCGTGGACATAAATGGTATAGAAAACATGTGTGAAGCATGACACCCAGGCCATTGCTTTGGATGTAAACTTCTGTGTTAGAGAATCTGCATGTCTCCAAAGACAAAGACTCAGATTCATAACCTTTAGTAAAAGAATGTGACCTTTAGAAAAAAGCAGCTGTACTTGCCTCTTGCCCTAGTCATGACAGAAACCAAGATAAACACCAGCTTCCAAATTTCTTCTTACAAAATAATTGTTACATTATTGTTCACCCTTTACTAAGCACCTTACATATTCAGAGAGTACCTCATGCTGAACGCGACCCCGGCTGCCCTGAGGCCGTCTACGCAGGAATGCCCAGGAACATGATAATGTAAGTGCACAAAATAAGAGGCGGACAGGTGAAGTGGGTGGCACTGGCCACCAGCAGAGGCGGTCAACCCTCCATCGCTCTGCTGCCAGTGTGTGTCCCTTGGCCAAAAAGCTCACAGAACAAGTCGCTTGAAGGACAAAATTTCTGAATTTCTCATTTTAAAACTTAGTTGAAAATAACCTCCTATCTCTTCAAAGAACAGTTGAGCCTTGCCAATTCCCATACAGAGGAAATCCTAATCATTGTGGATCATATTGAGAGACATTTTTTTTTACATGAGAAGACAAACAAAGCCCACCAGAAAGTCTTTTGGGGGACCATGAGCCTCAGACAAAGCTGCTCATCAGGCCTTTCCAGTATGTTTCATATTTCAAAATGCACACACATGAAATAAGCCAGTCAAAAGAGGGCAAATACTGCATGATTCCTCTATTTTAGGTTCCTAGAGTAGTCAAATTCATACAGACAGAAAGTAGAATGGTGGTTACCAGGGGCTGGAGAGGAGGGAATGCAGCATTTTTATTGAATAGGCACAGCATTTCAGTTCTGGAAGGTGCAAAAAGTTTTAGAAATGGATGGTTGTGAGGGATGCACAACACTGTGAATGTACCTAATGCCACTGAACTGCACTCTTAAAAAACATTAAAATGGTAAATTTTATGTTATGTATATTTTACCACCAAAAAACCAAAAAGCCCTATAAACACACACACAAACACAACTCTATCATGTGCTGTTTTCTTACACTGAAACAACCATAAACACCTAACCCATGTCTTATTTTGAATGAATCATTTCATTTGTTGCAAAGAGGAAGACAGAGAAACAGGACTCTTGGTGTAACACCCAGGACACTGGAGGCAGCTCTGCTTTCAGGAGATAGGTGAGTTCCAGCTGCCCCCTCCAGGGCAGGGCTTCTCAGGGGTGGCCCAGGAGGAGACCCTACCTGGTTTGAAAGTGGTGTTCCAGGTCACAGCGCTGCAACACCTCAGTGCAATGCTCGGTGAACGGGCAGGTCACCAGTAGCTTGTTGAGGAGCTTGTGGACCAGGATGCTGGATTTCTTGCAGTGCTGGAGAACCACAGGCTTGCGATCCACGGGGCAGAAGTCCTTCTCCACCAGAAAGTTGGTGAGACAGAGCATGCAGTAGGTGTGTCCACAGGGAGTGTCAAGAGGGTCCAGCAGGGCTTGCAGGCAGATGTGGCATATGAGGTCATCGTCCACATCTTCCGTGTAGGTGTAGAAGTGGTTTTCCTCAGGGGAGTGGACTTGGCCGCACACCACACAGAGGGGTGCAGTGCTGGGGTCTGGGTCATCGGCAGGGTCTGGCTGGCTCATAGTTGACTGGGGGGACAGCATGACAGAAAACCAACCCAGTAACACAATATTTCCTCAGGAGCAAATCAAGATCTTCTAGGAGCCATCCACAAACCTAAAAGAGAACAAGACGGCTTATCTTTGTTTTAAAAGCAAACCGAGGACTCCATTTGTTATAGGTGTGAGACAGTGCTGCCTGTGGACAGGGCACTGAACTATGACTCAGAAGGTCAAAGTTGAGTGATAGGACCTTGGGAAAGTGACTTGGCCTCATGATGCCTCAGTGTTACTTATCTATCCCAGTGGGAATCGTGTTTAGTTTTCACATTCTCATGGTGGTGTTGTAGAACTCATTTTGGTAATATCTGAGAAATGCCTAGAGTAACTCAAAAGTAACATGCTCTAAGAAATACAACTTGTTAATAAAATTAAATGTGATTGATAAAATTCTCTGTCAGATCAGAAAATAGTTAACACTGTAATGGCTTTCTCTCCCCTTTCTTCCTCATCTTTCTCCAAAACTCAGAAAAGTTAGGACATCAGAGCCTTCAACTAAACCATCTGAGAAGAAATGAGAGCTGTTGAATGTGTTGTATTTTTACTATGGTGAAAGCATTGTTTTCTGTATGCATTTCATTCACACAATCAGCCAGTCATTTAGTGGTTAAGTGGGCTCTGGAGACACACTTCCCGGGTTCAAATCCCACCACCACTGTGGACAATGATTTAAGCCTCTGTTTTCATATCTGTAAAATGGGGATAATAATAGCCTACTTCATAGGATTGTTGTGAGGATTAAATGAGCTATGATATACACAAGCTCTTAGAATTATACCTGGCATATAAAGTGTTCAATCAATATTAGCTACTATTCTTACATGTACTGTTATTGAATTCATTTTCTCTCCAGCCTAGCACACTTGGCCTGGAAACTGAAAGTGATAGTTCCCAGAAGGGGTCTTTTTGCCTTGTTCTTTTACTCAATTATGTATATATTGTGGATCATATTTCAAACCAGCAGAATATTATCATGCTATGTATTTTCCTTTAGTATAGGAATCCGAAACAATGGGATTTTCAAGATGCCTTGATTAACATCTAGGAAGTCTCCTGGATAATAAGTCAATAAATATTTTTTGAGCACCAGCTCTGAGGTAGGTCGTGAATTGGATGTGAGGAGCTTGAAAGAGCTTTAAAGGACATGCTCCTGCTCTCATGGAGTCCCTAGTCCAGGGGACGTGGACATGAACACAAGTAACTGGAAGCCCAGATAAGTAGTTTGAACAGAGGTATGCGCCAGTGGAACGTGAATCAATTCTCGTGGTGATTAAGAATCCCACACCCACACTAAACCCCAACCTAACTTCTTTTCTGAAAGTAAATGAAGACTTTAAGTGTTCCATAAGAACATAAAGACACGCAAATAACCCATGAAACTAGCCACGTTTGGAAATACATGGCAGTCATAAACTATTATATCTTTTTTCTTATCCAAATAAAGTTCGAGGTTGTTTGTACAAACATAGCCTTATCTCCAAAAGAAAATATATTGACTTCAAACTTTCACTGGGTCAGCTTCGTGTTTACATTTCTGCACTGCGCTAATATGCCTAAAAGAACACTCTAGTCAGGAGGTTGAAGGAAAATACCCTGAATGTGGAAACATTTAGAAATCATAGCCTTTTCTTTAGCATCCAAAGGGATCACAGAAGGCTAAGGTAGAGCATGCGGGAGAAAGTGAAGGCATTTCTAGTCAAATTACCCAGCTGCTGTCGGTCCTCAAGGCTGATAGAAAGTCTGGAACCGCACAGGAAATGCTTTCAATGGCATGAAAAACAGTTAGAAAGTAAACATGAAAATGGGAATGGGCCACCCAAAAGATTATCATCGACTATAGGAAAAAAATGGTTCACATACTTTAAACTAAAACTCTAGAACTTTCAAAGTTCCTCTGTAAGAGTTTTGTCAAATACTGTTATGTATTTTGGTCCTGTTCATTCTTTCTCATGTGCTGTACTAGAAAATAATAAAAATGTTGCACTGGTTGTACCACTGATGAAAAAACTTCACATTTCTGGGCTATTCCCTTATTGGGGAAATGGTAGAATAGAGACAGATTTTTGGTTTTCTAACTAAGCCTCGGAAGGTGTCAGATGCCTCAGGGTCTCCTAGTGGAGGGAAGGAGGGGAGGAAGGTGGAGATGTGACCACTGCTCTATCCCATGCAGCCCCAACTCCACTTTTATTTCTTTGACACATTGTGTTCCTTACAATATTCTGTTTGAAGAACCCTGGGATGAGGGGAAAAAAGCAAACTGCTAAGACTAGATACTTTTCAGAAACAGAGTCCTATGATTCTATGCTGATAAAGTAGAAGTGTTTGCTTTGTTTTGGGTGATTGGCTGTTAGGGAAAATTCTATTTTTTTTTGTAATAGTTTTTTGAGCATTGACCACATGCTAGGCACTGTGCTAGGGGACTTATACATATTATTTAATCCTCACAAATCTCCAGTTTTGTTTTGTTTTATTTTTTCATTTAACATGTGAGGAAACTGAAGTATGGCATGTAAATAACTTGCCAGTCACACCAAAAAAAAGAAAGAAACCCAGAAGGGGCTGCTGACTCCAATTCCTGCTCCTAACTATTTTGTTATTTTGTCTCTCAGCATTCTTCCTGATTATGACTAGTCAGAATCCCAATACTGTAACTAACCAACTATAAGGGCCCTTATATAAGGGAAATTAGGTTTACAATCTCTTTATACTCTACTGCAGGTAGGTTTTTCCAAGGTTGCTGAATAAAAAACTTCTTTGACTTTATTACATGCTAAAGTGCCTGAGACGGAATGAATGGGGCAAGCAAAAGTGGCAGGTTTTTTATCCAACTCCAGTTCTCTCTCTCTCTCTCTCTCTCTCTCTCTCTCTCAATTTGAATTCCCTGGCACTTACCCATGTGCATAAACCAGATTCTTAATATACTATTAATGTAAACACTGATGTATATATTTTCTGACTTTGCTTTAGACTAAATAAAGCCTATATGAATAAACACAGATTATGAGAGAATTGACTGAACAAGCAGTTTTGGTTCTAAAGAACGAGGTAGACTTTTAAAAATGTGATTAAGATCATTTACCTGACATTTCTTATTTCCAGTTTACATCCTATAAAGATGTATGATGTATCATGCTTTTAGACATAGATGTGCCTTGCTGCTGAACTGAGAAGAAATGATCAAAAATCATTAAAGCTTAAAAGGTAAACTATTTTCTCTCCCCAAAGTGAGCGAGAGGGCCTGTCAGCTTTGAGTTCATTTACATTACTCAATGTGTCTGGCTGGCCCTGGCTGAGGTAAGGCGAGAAAGCTGTAATAGTAACAGGGCTCTCTTGTAGTTTGGAGAAAGAGCACAGAAGTGAATTCCCTTCTGGGGTGTGCGTGTGGTGGTTGGGGGAGGTACAACTCTTTTGCTGCTTCGGAACCCTTCTTTCTCCCTTTCCTCTGATTTGGGGTAGAATAGAAGCCTGAGGTGACTTTTAGAGATATGTGTAGTCTACACACTGCAGTGCTGAGACGTGCCAGGAAAAATAAAAATCTCTGTCTCTGTTTGTTCTTAATCCCTGCTTCCTTTCCCACCAGTTTATGGTCTGGCCTGAACCTGGACAGAAGTTCTTCTACCTAACTTTCAAATTCTGAACTTCTGTGGCTGACAACAAAGACACATTCCAGAGCCAAAGTGAGTCAGCATTGTCCACAACCAAGAGGGTAGTTAGAAGTCATATGTATACTGTCACCTGCACTAAAAATCCAATAGACTAACAGCCTTTGGGATATAGCCTGTTTGGAAGTAGAAAAATTCCCACATGAGGTAACTTACCAGAACAATGGGCGTCCCTGGTGTGCTATTATATGATTCTGCTAATTCTTTTTTAAATGCACACTGGCTTTATAGAAAATGGTTATCTGATGTAGTCACCAGAATAAACCATATACTCCACAAGAAAGGAGATGGATAAACATTTGGCATGCTGCACTGACAATTTCACATTGTCCTATTGAAAGAACAAGACCTGACTCTGAAGCATCTCTTCAATAGTTGCATGAGTCACAGTTTTCCAACAATAGTAATGGGACATCATATTATTAAAAAGAATCCATTGCTACAGTCAAATGGCAGTGTGTCTGCATTGCTACTTTAACCTTGACACAGATGAAACATCGTAGCCATTGACTTTTCAGGTTGAAAGGGATCCTTGAGGGATGGTCCTCAAATGAAACAGACCTTTATTCCGTTATAAAATGGATCATTCTGCCTTTGGACAGCTCTAATTATTAGGGAGGGAAAGTCTGTATGTTGAGAAAAAAATTGCCTCTCTAGAACTCACCCACTCCCTCCATGGGCGCCAGCATCATCCTAGGAGCTATTTAGAATATGTCTAGTTCCTTAAGCCCTTTAAATTATTTGAAGACAGACTCCATGCTCTCCCCCAGGTTCAGCAGCCTTAGGTTCATCTGGCATTCCTTCAGGTCTCCAGCCTCTCTGCAAACTCCTCGATTTATCAGTTGTCCCTCCTATATTGTGTGGGTAGAATGAACCAGGACAGAGCAAAGTGGGAGTAAACACTTCCAGAGCCAAACACTCGACCTGTTTTCTAAGTAGCAAATCAGCCATTGCTCACTGCAGTCCTGCCTGATGAGCTGAGCAGGAGACACTATCCTGAGGCCTGGAGGAAGCAGTTAGCAATTCTTGGTCACAAAGTGGGGGAAAAATCAAGGCTAATAAGGTAGAAAAGTAGGGGCTTTCAAAAGCAAAAACAAGGGCTATGAACATAGTTTGGAAAATGCAAAGATATTTAGTGGCATTGGGTTGATTTATATAAACAGGAGAAAATCCTTGGTGGCTAAACAGTTTGGTACAGGAATCCTCACTGTATAATTTTATCCCCAGAACAAATGGTATTTGGGGAACTGGGGCTCTCCCATTTGCTTGTAAGCATTCCTTTATTTTGATGATTCTTGTTGTTCTAAAATGTACTGACATAATAAATAACACAAGAAAAGAGACATGAAAACCATTTAAACAAATGGCAAGTCAGAGATACTTTTTCCTACACACA